AAAGTAGATAGAACATGGAAAGTGGATATTTATCTTGGATAAGAGTACATGAGTAGTATGGCCAACATGTTAACCATCATGCTTTATAGAATTGAACATGAACCTCTTTTAAAAATACAATATTAATGCCCCTTTCAAATGTAATGTTCTTTGATGATATCTCTGGTAAGAAAAGAAATGAGGAAATAGAGATAGGAGGTTAAGAGAAAAAAAAGAATCCATGCCACATCTGTGAGTTTAGGGGAACATTACAGTAGAACATTAATAAGCAACATTTCAGGAAAATCAGACTTCAAGTTCTTATGACATCATATTAGTTAGTCTACATGTTAGTAGACAAAGTACTGATTTGAGTGAAATGATACAGAAAGCCATTTTCAGGGAGGGGTTACTAAAGTAAGGGAAGTTGCATTGTTTTCACAGGAAATCATGGGGAGATGCACAGGTGGAAGACTCACTGCATAAATATTCCATCTATATTCATAGATAGAGGACTTTCAGATTGGTAGACCTTCATTTGATAATAGAGTTCCATTTTTGTTTTCAATTTTATATATACTCCGTGAACATTTATACAAAATTAAAATCTTTTTCATAACTAACATTGTGTTTATGCAACATAAATTATGAGATATTTAGCTATTCAGTGTGCATCAATGATTTAAACCACCTGAGATACCTGATTAAACATGCATTTCAACCACGTAGAAACAATGAAGCATGGTCAGTCACACTGAGGTTTTCTCAATGAAGTTGGTTATAGTCCTTCATTTAGATTCAAACTTTCCCACTGCTTATATTCAGCTGTTAGTTTCAGAGTTGTGGAAAATGTAAAACTATAAATCATGACTCAGAGCTGAATTTCTTTGACTTATGGTCCCTAGGGATATCTGGAATAGTCTCTCATATAAAGGCTATTCATACAGAGAATATTAATATTGGAAAATTTGTAGAACATACAAAAACTACAGAGATTTTCGAGGGAAGATTAGGGAACTAGTTTGTTTTTAATACACATGAATCTTTTTAGATTTTGTAATTAAGATCTGGTTGACATATTAGTATTTAATAATGAAGCTTTTCTCCATGTTTTGGCCATCACCTGCTTAGATCTATTTTACTGGCACATTTCAGGACCTTTATTTCAAAAGCATCTCCAAATTATAAAGAGATTATACTATACGCCCAATGCACCATGTAATATATTAACTCCTAAATGTAAGATATTTTACTGTGTCCAGTTTACCACTGTGAATATCTCTTCTTAGCTGCAACAAAATAGGATTAAATGAAATGATACATGTGAGCAAAATACCTAGAAGACTGGCACATGCTACAACACACACACACATAACACACACACACACACACATAACACACATACACACATATCTTATATGTTTTATATTAAAGAACAAATATTGTGCTTATATAAAATAAAAATATTAACTTTCCTTTAAGATTGTTTGTCTCTTTACAATAATACTTCTTTAAATGGTAAGCTTTGTCAATGTATTTCCTATATTATGCATTTTGCCATAAATGATATTATATTGAGGAATACACCTATTATGTGAAACAGAGCAAACCTCTATTACAGTCACTAAGATGGTCCTTATGCCATTACTGACTGTTTTCTCATTCAATATTCAGTTTTGAATTCAAACTTCTGCCATATTTCTACATTTCAATAACAGCACTCTAACCCCATTCCGAAACTAATCATTCTCATTTCTGGAATTCTCATTCATTATGAAGAGCTCAAGCAAAACCTGCATTTGTTCCACAGGTTAGGTTTGGATCCAATAACATGGTTTAGATCCAATAACGTACAGGTAAGCCTTAGCTGTTACTTGATAAAATGTGTGGTGAATCAATTTTTCATTGCAATTTCATAATGAGCATAGATAAAATGATTATGGCAGAGTTCGACAAATAAAAAAGTTAATAATAATAATAATAATAATAAAAACTTAAGTCTAATACACTGGTGATGTGTACTGGGGAACAACCTCCTAGGGGAGAAACCTGACTGAACTTATTGCTTAACAGATTTTAAAACAAAAAAAAAATTATGGATAACTTAAGAAAATAATTACAATACATTAAACATAATTTATAATCTTATGTCCTCTGTTCCTTTTTTGCCCTGAAACTATCTTTTACTATTTTCCATTAAGATAAATGAAAATATAGAGTATTTAAAATGAATGCTGTTCTCGATTCATCAGTCCTGTTCCACTGTATCTTTGTCAGGCATTCATAATTAATGGTTCATATAAGCAAAAGGTGATTCCTTAGTAAGAAAACATTTGCAGCCATTAATGTTTCATTCATTTCTTGGCTAGGTATCACTGTGGTGCTGAAAGGATAGCTCCAGGTCACCTGTCGACATTCTGGAGTTTGCTCTGCCCAAAAAGAGAGAAGGGAAAGAAAGAACTAATGACGAAGATAAAGCAGACCCGTTGAAGACAGGAGTGGTAGCTAATCCCTTTTTAACTTCACATCATCTTCCAAGAAAACATCTAGTTATTTTTTTTCAAAACAAATTGTTTATTATAAATCTCAAGCTATATATTTAGAAAAACAGTTCTTTTCTTTTCTTTTTTTTTTCTCAAAGTATAATCTCAAGGGACCACATTTTGAAGACAGGAAAAAGTGAATCACATATTTTTTCTACCATTAAAATTAGAGATAGCATCTTCTGTAAATACAGCGGAGAAAGTCTGGAGACTTTTTACATGGAATTCTCAGCGGGGGGGAGGTAAGACAGAGTGAAAAATCCTTTCCAAGATCACACTGACACTCCTTATTCAAGGAAAATCGTGTCCTCGATCCGCCCCCAAGCAGTCCATTTGTGACCTAGGAGCTCATCACCCCGTGTATAATTCTCGAAGAAGGTAAATTAAGACAAAGCAATCACATACTCGGTTGGCGGAGGGCGGAGAGGTTGAGCGGGCATTGGGAAGCAGTGGGGACCAGAAGAGAAAGTGACCTCATTTTGCTGGAGAAAGCTCTGTCTAACAAGCCCACCTTTGATGAGGCTATCCACGGCGCTAAGAGAGCACAAAGGCTGGAAACTGGAGAGAGAAAACTTCCCTTATTCCTCCACCCCCATCCGTTAGGACCACCAGGAGCACGCACTCGCAAGCACAACAAAGCGTGCGCCCAGGCTGCCCGGCTGGCGCTTTCCCCGGCAGAGCCATCGCGCCCCAGGGCGCATCGTTCCCCACCGCAGAGCAAGAGCGCCTGAGAGCTGCTGCGGGCTGGACAGCCTGGGAAAAGGGTGCGGGAAGCTCTCCTACCTTGAGCAGCACAAAGAGCCAGAGCAGAGGCAGGAGGCGGTGGCCAGCGCGCGTCCTCATGGGCAGGTGCCCCATCGCGGAGCGGACAGGGAACTAGGGGGACAGCGGCGCCAGCGGGGTCCCCTGGCGATGGCTCACAATGGCGAACTGGGGCTACAGCCTCAGACCGTGGGCGCCGAGGAAGCTCCTGGCGGGCGCATGCTGCCTTTCCAATCCCCCTGCGCCTGCTCCCTTTCCTCTTCTGCGCCGGGGGTCCTCCAAGAACGTGCCAGGCGCCGCTGTTCTTTAATAGCTAAGGATGGAGAGGGTGGAGATTGCAGTGGGCGAGGCTCTGCCGCCGCCACCGCAACAGCAGCTGCCCGAGCGGAGTCACTGGGTCCGAGTGGTGAGGGAGAGGCGGGGGCCCTGAGTCCTGCCCGCCTTGGTCCTCTTAGCAACAGGGATACTCTCACTCATGCTGCGGACTCATAAAGTGACAGCAGCCTCCCAACCCTCTCGACAGCCTCCTCCTATTGCTGGACAGCCCCATTCCAGGCTCCGCCTCAACCTTCCCACAGTATCTGGGACTCAGGAGTTCTGTGGGTTTTCCTGATGGGCTTTGAGCAATCGGGATCCAGAGCCTGTCTCCTCTCAATTCCATACCCCTGCCCTCAACTGCAGTTAAAAGCAGTAGTAACACTTGGGTGGTTGAGATTCGGAGCCTGTGAGTGGGGGACAGGGAGGAAGAGAAGGGCAGGGTATTTACCCTCACACCACTGCCACCTCCTCTATTCTCTCCATCCCATAGTCACCTAAGAAGAAATAGCATGAATATGTACATTTCCCATTTACAATCAGGAGTTCTTGTAAATTTCAAAGACTGTCCTTTTCCAAAGTCTGTCATGTCACCTGAAGCAGAATGTAGAAGGGGATCACGATAATTTATTCTTATTTATAAAAAAGATACACATTTTCTAAAAATTCTGAGTTATCCTGGAATAATTAACCTGATTTTTTAAAGTCACATGCAATGACTTCCATACCGTGTGTCCCCAATCTACTTACCTATTCCTTTTGTTGTTATGTGTATTTTTTTTTGAAAGATATGTCTGTCAAAATAAACTATGGGATGCACTGTTCAGATATAAATCATTTCTTATTATCATGTAAAGTACCCTTACTGTGTCCTGCCAGTAATGGAACTTCCTATTTATCTTTGAGGCATGCTTGGGCACCAGGAGACAGAAAAGGTCACCTTGGTCACCAATGTAGGAGTTCAGGCACCAGTTCTGTCTCACACAGCTAAAGAGTAGTGGTTTGAAGAAGGACCCAGAGCTGTGTTTACCGAGCCTTTATCCAGAGGAGAAGTGGCCAGACACTTCTCCCAGGGAGGATTAGGTAGATTATGTTCTCATGGCTACATTTATGCCCTAATGTTTGTAATCATAAAATATAGAGATGGCCTGAATTTGTGTGAAAATAATCTCTTTGGTGACTTCTTTTAGAGGCTGCTTTTGTTTTCACCTTCTTCCTCCTCCCATTGGAGGGGTGTCCGTCCTTCATTGGCTTGGATCTTCATGAAACTAATATTTTGGGAAAATATGAGCTGCTTCTCTCTTCTTCTGGGTTAGACTTTTGGGCTTTCTGAAAATTTTATCCTTGGGACCACACTTGTATAGCTTTGAGCTTTATGTTTTTCCCTTTTATTTTGAAGTTCCTGAAAGCAGCATTTTATTCCTATCCAGCCTCAAATTGGCTCTAAGGTGCTCTAATCAATCTCTAGAACTACAAATGTTTTTAGACCAGTAGCAGAATTTCACTCACAAGATGCCAATCATTTCTCTTTTGAACAGTTTGGTTTTGAAATGAATGTTTGTATGTGGATTATGGAAATATATAAGGCTGTTCATGTGTGTGTATGCATATGCATATATGTGTGTATATGCATACAGAATATAATATATATTATATGTTATATACATATGTATATATATTTATGCACATGCACACACTAATATAGACTTGCCTGAGGTATATTGGGCATTAGAAAGCAGTTTTGATCATACTGATCAAAATGTTTCATGAATATGTACATCTTACAAATGCAAAAAGAACTTTCACAATAATGCATACTTTTAAATAATCATACTTTGCTATGTCTTTTTATTTTTTATTTATTTTGCTTAGCTCTTTCTGCTCTCATACAGATGTACACATGGATCACTTTGGAGGAAGAACAATATTAAACAGTAAGTAAAGCTAAACCCTGTAAAGCATTCATAATTAGCATTATTAATATTCCATTAGCAACACTGTGATTAGATGGCCTGAAGACTGAAGGTATTATTTCATAATCACAGAAAATTTTCTCTCCAGAGAGTATTTTGCACAGTTATTGCAGGAGAAAATAGTTTCATTTGTTTTTATTGCACTTAAAGCAATAACAGTTTTGTGAATTTTCCTACAGGAGATTCCCATGAAAAATGTGAATGTTGCATCATCAGTGGTGTAGGGTTTTCAGTTGTGTGTGTTTCTGTTTTATTTTTGTTGACTATTGACTGGGGTTTCAATGCAATAATTCCAAAGTATAGGCAATCTTATGATGCTATTTTCAAGCCTCCAAATCAACAAGAATGGCCATAGGCAACATATAGTGCATATCGCAATTTATGTGTTTCACCAATCACTTTAACACATTTGTTTGATTTCATTATCACACACCATTCTGTTTGTTAAAGAGGGCAGAGATCATTATCACCAATGACTTTCTCCCAAGGCTGCTTTTCCTGGAGAATAAATAAAAATGGAAAAATAGACTGTCTTATGTGATATAAGGCAAGCATTTAAAAATGAATTTTCACAAATCAAAGTAAGTCTATTTTCTTTGAAAGTAAATTAAGGTGATGAAAGATGATCAAGAAACTGGAGAGCCTTTGTTAAATCTCTAAGAGATTATATTTTTTTAATCAGGAAAAACAATCTTTTCCTAAGTATTTATAGATGTATCGTGCCTATGTAGTTCACATATATCTCTTCTATAGAAAGAGAAGTAATAGCAGCCACAGAAAAGTAGCTAGAATCCCTGTGAGAGGTTTAATGAAGAATCAAATGGAACTCTTACGGTGCCCTTGCCAATGAAGCTCAATTCTGTCCTCCAGGGACCAGGTCTAATGTGGTTCAGTGTGTTTAGTTCTGGCTTCCACTACTGAAATAGCCTACAAGGCTGTCAGCAGTTTCAGTATTAGATAGTTGTATATATGGGGGCTTCTCAGTGACAAATAATTTATTTTATATGGATTGCAGGAAAAAAAACCCTCTAGTCATTGATCTCCACTTGGAAAGCACAGTAATAGCCATTCAGTTTGTCACCCATATCTCACATATTACAATTTTTGCAGCATATGAGCTGTAGATTATGTGGAATGTGTTCTTAAGATAAGAACACCAGGCAGAATTTTGATTTTCAATTTATTTTAGCATTTGTTTTTAGTTTTTTTCCTTGATGAGCACTGATTTCTCGCCTAAAAGATGTGTTGACAATTCATAAATTCCACGTCTTTCAAAATGAGAATGATTGACAGTTCTCAGGTGAATAGCATGTTCCAACTGCCAAGACTTATTATTCTTGCCACACTTGAAAAGCAGTGAAATAAATACACTACAGAAGGTCATTTTTCTTTTACATGGAGACTTTTTTCTAATTACTTTTTTCTCTAAATAAGTTCTAAAATATGTTTTTTTAAAATAAAAAGTTTACTCTTTCGTAGACATAGTTTTAAAGAGTCAAATAGGAATGCTATATCATGAGGTATGGTTGTGATAACACAAACTTATCTTCTTAAAGGAATAAAAAAACATAGAAAATGTGAGCAGATATTTATCACAGGACATAAATTGCAGATTACAGTATAAACAATCCTTAATTAGGAATACAGATTATCATTTTTTAGATGTTATACCTTCTTTCAGTTGTATATTATTGCTGTTTGTTGTCAACGTTTTCTTTAATTAACCTAAACTTTAATTAAAAAACTTTAAGTAATCTTAAATTATGTAATATTATTTACATTTTGTTCATATGCAATACCTTCTAAAATATTTTAAACAATAAACTTCTAAAATATTTTTCTGAGCATTACAATGTTGCTATCATCAACATACTTAGCTTCTTTACATAATTTGGTTTCTTGACTAATTATGACTTAAAGTATTAACATCTGCACAGAGGATTCATTTTAGCTTGGCAAAATGTAAGAATAGAACTTGAATGTAATTTATAGCTAAAGCAAGACATATTGTTTGCTAAGGGGAAATGGCATCTGCTGATCCTCCCTTCCTTTCTTTCTTTACTTCCTTTCAAATTAAAAATGCAATACAACATTTATAGCCTTTTATGTGTCAAACATAGTGTCTACATGTGTATTACTTAAAAAGGGACTGCAAATACATAATTATAGAAAATTCAGTGATGGTGATTTCAGATCCTGTGTAAAAACTATTAAACCATTAATCATGTGTTTTGAAAATGCTCTGCATTAACTGGTAATATTCTACCAGTAGATATAATAAGATGTGTTGACACTTACTTCAAATTAATCACACCCAATCAATTTTTTTTTGCTAAAATGACAAAGCTAGTAATAGTCTCAAATTTAATTGTGAGAGAAGGGATGGAGATGATTACAGTTTAGAGAAGGGATAGGAGAGGCTATAGATGGATTGGTGTTATTACCTGCCAGCAGGAGGAACTAGAAATTTTGAGAAAGGCATGAGTGTTCTGGAGAAAATCCTAGTGCCCAGGGAAGACTAAAACATCCTCACCATAAAAGGAAAGGAATAAACAGTTTAACTGCCTATTTCTGATATGCTCATACACGATGAATATTTATAAGAGGAGCAATTTGGGAGAAGGAGCACAGATTATACCTGTTTTGTTTGACAATTTGGCAACATGGATAAATCACAAGGGCAAGCATTTAACATACGTTTAGAGGATGATTTGATCCAGTTGAGGATCACTATGAGTCAAGCCTATGGACATTCTGTTAACTTGCCACCTACAGTGCCATTTCCTATCCTTTCTATTCATCTCAAATCTCCCAACTCTACAGTGCTTTGGCTTCACTTTTGACCTTAGAGAGGAAGTAGAGGTCAAAAGTTTATGTTTACTCTCAGGAAAAATACTAAAATTTTAAGAGTCATAACAATAATGGTTGAAGATAAGGACTTCCAATTTGAGTGAACCATGTTCTGTGAGCTGTTTTTCTGTGTTTTCACTTCAACTTTTGAAGAGCTTTCAAACCTACAGAGAAGTTGAAAAACTGGTACAATAAATGATCGACACTCTAATAAGACACATGCAGATGTGTTTAGGGATTAGATATCCTGATTGCAACTTTAAAATGCATAAAAATAAGATTGACAAGTCACTGGATGGATAGACATATGATAAAGTAACTTTAGCAAAATCTTTTCAGTTGCAGAATTTTGTTGATGGGCATATGAATGTTC